TCTAGAGCTCGAAATTTCTCTCTTCTTCTCTCTTTTTCTCTCTCTTTCTCTCTCTTGTATTTCTTGAGAGTTTGTGAGGTATTGTAGTGTGAAAAGGTCGCCACAAAGCACCTAGAATCACCATTAACAAAGCTTGATACGAGGTATTTCAGTCAATCTTCTTCTCTCTCCTTTATTTTTATCTTTGTTTCTTATTTCTAATAAACATCATTATAATAAAAGCAATCATGTAGATATTTTAGGGTCATTCCTATAATTTAAATTTCAAACATGTAAATAGTTATAACAAAGGGGATCTAATATTTAATTTATTATTTTTTATCACGTTAACTTTATCATAGGGTACCGATTTAGGGCGTTGTAAGGGTGCTTAATACCTTCCTTACGCGTAACCGACCCCCGAACCCAATTCTGTTTATCAAGGCCATTATTGGATCTTTAAAAACCTTTTCTTTTTCCAATATTTTGAGTAAAATATTGGTGGCGACTCCGTGAACCTATTTTCAAAACCATTAATTAAGGATTAGTCTGGTGTCCGGGCATTCCTTAATTAATGAGACTTTTAAAAGGATGTCTAAACCATAGGTCGCAAGATCGGAAATTTTCGGGTTGCGACATGTACTAGTATAAAAATACTTGCTCTATGCTTTAATGTTCCAGCGCACTTTATTTGGTTAATCTAATACACTGAAAACTTCATCCAATGATTATCGTCTATTAAAACCATCTTCAGACGAAAACCATATTTGTTCAAGTTGTTATCCTAAAGAATGGTTTTCGTTTAAAGAAGTATTTTCTTTGAACAAATGATGAAACTCCCAGGCTGAAAATGATTTTGTAAAACCAATCCTAGGTAGTCTCAGTTTAGCATTCCCCAATATCTTTTACTAGATGAAAACAAGAGCCTAATTGTGAAATTTTTTTTAAAACTCCTTTGTTCAATCACACACATATTCAACCCCCCTTCTGTGTGTTTCTCATGCAACTTTAGCTTTTACACAAAGGGGTCTTCCTTGGCGGTGTATTCCATATCGTACCCTTAAAACATTTATGCAAATGATGCATGTAATTCAAGACTCTATGCATTCTCATATCACATCATCATGTCTTATTATCACATATCATCATATCCCATGTCTCATATTCACTTTTCACGTTATCTCATCATATTCACATAGTCTCCATAGAGCACTCTAATTCCTATCAAAACATATTCAAACTCAAAATTAAATGTATATTCATGTTCATAATCATCAGGAAACACAACAGAAAACTCAGAAGGTAAAATAGAAAACATTCAAAATTTGCATATTTCTCATAGGGTTCCCATAAGAACCCACAGAGCACTCTAATTCATATTAAAACTTTTTTATCCTCCAAACTAGTCAATCCTTCCTGTATGCTCCTGGCCATAATTCTGGTGATTGGGCCCTAGGCCCATGGTCCATCACAAATGCTCCCCAAGGTGATACACTAGGTCTCACAAACTATTTTCTAACAATTCCTCTAACTGCTTCTCATCATGCTTAGCTAGCTCTAAAGGAGACATCCTAGAAGATACTATAGAAATGAGCTTGGTTCCTTATACTACCTTTATGAAAAACTCTATCTCACAAACCACTTGTTCTTTTCATTTTTATTTGGTGTCCTTCTCGTCTTTTAGGTACCTTGTCTCTTTCTCATTGTATCTATAATTGTGGGTTTGAATTTCTTTAGTATTGGTACTATGTATGCTAGTTTTGGGTTAGGTTTTCTTGTTTCCATAATGGATATGTTGAGGTGAATGTTAGGGACAAAAAATAATAAATTCAAATTTTGAAAGAATGAAAATCAATGAAAAATATTTTACAAAAATCAAATCATTTTTTTATAAGAACCAAAACAAAAGATTTATGATTTTATAAAGAGTAAAATTAGTATTGCAAATTTTAGAGGATAAAATATAAAGAGTATACTTTACAAGAATTAAAATCAAAACTTATTTATTTTATAAAAGTTAACATATGAGGAGAGATCTGTTTACTTTAAGAGTAAGTTTATTTAAACATACTTCGCTCAATATCTCATATTCTATACTAAGTTTTAATGACCCAACCGTTGAATTTAAAATTTTTAATGCATAGATTAAATCTGCAAATTTTTAACAAAATTAAAAATCATTTGATATTTCATTTCATTAATTCATATTGACGGATTATCATAAAATCATTCTATATGTTTATTTAAATTAATGAAATGAAATATCAAATAATTTTTAATTTTTTTTTAAATTTGCATACTTATTTATATATTAAGAATTTTAAATTTAACGATTAAATCATTAAAATTTAATATAAAATATAAATTATTGAACAAAATAAGTTTAAGTAAACTTATTTCGAGAATAAACAAATATGTCCTCTTGCTCGGATTACTATATTGTTGTACCTTCAAGCACAAATGACTATATATTTTCTTTTAATCTTTACACAAGATATACTTTTAAGTAATGATAGTAGTGAATTATGATATTTATTTCATTTATATATGGCTCTTATATATGGTAATTATTTATTATTATATTATTTTAGTAAACATATTTTTCCTACTTTTTAATCATTTAAATATGAAAAATATTTTATGCATATTGATTTTATTTTCACAATAGAATATTTACTTAATAGAATTTGAGTGATATATAGATAAGGTTATAGAATAAATCTTGTATTAAAAGTGATTAGTTAAATTTTAGATAAAAATTAATCATTAATTAACGAAGTGGGTAATTAATTCGTAACAGACATCACGAATCTAACAATTCATTGTCATGATAATCGCTCAAAAGTCAAAACCTACTTCTAGTACAACAAATCTCGTGAGTCGTGACAACCAAAGCCAACTAAGATGAGCAAGAGTACACAAACACACTTGAACAATAAATTTATTTAACTCAAATCGAAGTGTGCTTAGAAAGTCCGAGTCACCTACTTATTGTTGCAGGGCGAAAGCGGTGATCCACACAAACACTTGTTCTGAAAATACGAATACTTATCAAACGTTTGCAATTTCCCACCCCGTGGTATTTGACCACATAACTGATTATAGCTCACAATGAATACCTGCAAATTTTCAACTTTGGCCAACCCTCCAGGAATGCTTTCATAAATCTTGTTGTGATTGAGATCCAACCATGTTAAGCTATTCTGGGGAACCTTCACACGAGAAAGATCAAACGCGAACATGTTTCTTGAAAGGTCGAGATGCTGCGGCCTTTTGCTGAAAAGAATGGAGGCATCGCCTTCCAGCTTGTTCCTCGAGAGGTCTATCCTTTCTAAGTTGGCCAAGGAAGCGGGAATGGGCCCCGAAAGCTGGTTGTGAGATAGCACGAGGCTTGGCCCGGGCTTTTTGGGGGACCCGAAGGCCGGGACTGGGCCCGTGAGCTTGTTGCGGCTGAAATCGAGGAACGTGAGTTTAGGCAGTGTGGTAAGTGAGCTTGGTATGGGGCCGGAAAGGTTGTTAAAAGAAAGGTCGAGCGTGTCAAGGTTCTTGAGTTGGGCCAGAAAAGAGGGTACTGGGCCGGAGATAGCTATGTTGGTGAGAATGAGATACTTGAGATTGGTGAGTTTGGCGATGGTGGGCTGGATTGGGCCGACGAGGTTGGGGAGTTTATTGGAAAAAACTCAAGTTCCACATCGACTAGAGATTAGGCAATTGAATAGTATATAAGTGGAAAGCAACCCTCACCTTACAAGCCGGTTTTGTAGGGTTGAGTTAGGCTTAATCCAAACCCAAGTCCCACATCGACTAGAGATTAGGCAATTGAATAGTATATAAGTGGAAAGCAACCCTCACCTTACAAGCCGGTTTTGTAGGGTTGAGTTAGGCTTAATCCACTATTCTAACATGGTATCAGAGCCATTTAGATCCACTTTAAAAATGGGCCACCCACCATTGATGCATGCCTCATAGGTATGAGGGGGTGTATTGGGAAAAACTCAAGTCCCGCCTATCCTAGATCATTAAAAAAGGGCCACCCACCATTTATCCACGTACCAAGCCCAATAGTGCTGGACGTGAGGGGGTGTATTGGGAAAAACCCAAGTCCCACATCGACTAGAGATTAGGCAATTGAATAGTATATAAGTCGAAAGCAACCCTCACCTTACAAGCCGGTTTTGTAGGGTTGAGTTAGGCTTAATCTACTATTCTAACAGAGCTTGTGGAAGGAGAGGTACTGTAGGTAAGTGAGGTCACCCACTGAGGGAGGTATTCGCCCATGGAAGTTGGTTTCAGGGACAGAGGGTGCTATGAAGAGGTCAGTGATACGATGCGTTTTGAGGTCACACTTGACGCAGTACCACTCGCGACAATCCTCATTTGGGTCCCACGAGGCTAAGATATAAGGGTTGTTGAAGTCTTTCTTCAGTTGGAGCAGTGCTTTTTTGTCAATGGGGTGGCACCGCTCCGAGAATGCAAGTGGAAATGGTGACAACAATAGGCACAACCACACTCCCAACATAAACATGCTTCCCATTTTTAATTCTTTCGAATGTTTAAGTATTTTGGTAACTGTACTATCCGTACCGCAAAGCCGAGCTCTAGCTCGGTATCACAGCGCAGATCGACCTCAGACACGCGCTAGGCGACATCGGCCAAGACGAGGTCCGTTACTTAAATAGGTCATAACTGATCTCAGGCCCAAGGCCCAATGAAACCCTAATTCACACAAAGGTACATGCATTACTTATACGAGATCCATACACCTGCAAATACTTACTTTAGCATCGGAGTCTTTTTTGCAGGTACCACCCCCGCCTTGGAACAGCAAGCGTACTCAGCGAAGGAGGCTCACCAATCTTGCCCAGCAGATCGTCTCCTACGACCGATCTTCGGTAAGAACATTTGGCGCCCACCGTGGGGCCGATTAAGACAGCTCTTATCGGCCATGCTTATGGTTATCACCTGAAGCCATAGTAGACGGAGCAACGGACGACTTAGATCGCACAACAAGAATGGACAGCGAAGCAGCGCTAAGAAGACTGATTGAACAGGTCGATCAAATGCGGCAACAACACGCCGTCGACCTGGACAACATTCGTGCCAAGCACGAAACTGACCTAGCGGCGCTGCGTGCTGAGAATGAGCGCATTCGCGCCCAGCTTCCTCGGTGCCCTTCTGATCAACCCCCTTAACTGAGTAACCCACACGAGGAAAAGGGACACTCTGTTTCCCAGCCACCAACTACACCCAGAGCGGCGACCCATAGGTCTACTGTTCATCGGTCACACGTGCCGACAAATAGGTCAGACCATGAAGTCAGCAACGCTCCTGCCTAGGCTCCTGGAAATCGGGCGAGCATCCACTGCCACCCTTTTGTTGACGGCATCATGGAGATGCCCTTTCCTTTTGGATGGAAGCCTCTCAATATCAATCGTTACGATGGCACGACTGACCTAGACGAGCACGTCGATCTGTACATTACACAGGTAAACCTATACACTAATGAAGATGCTATTCTGTGTAGCAACAACAGACCACCTAGCAGCTCCCCAAACAATGTGCCCAACATGGACGGAGAGGCCGCCACAAGGACCCTGCTCGAACAAATCTAGATCCTGCGACAACAAAATGTCGCCACCATATCTGCCATGCGTGCACAGCATGAAGCTGACATCGCGACATTACGAGCCGAGAACGAGCGAATCCGGGCGCAAATTCCACAACAGCCGCCACCACCAACCCATCAAGCCGAGGACGAACATCAATCGCTTTCCCCAACCTTAGAAAATTTATGGAGCGCTTCGCCGCCGTTTTCGTCAAAATTTGAAACCTCAACCCCGAAGTCGCATTGCACTCCATGCTCATGGTACTCAAGCCAGGCCCTTTTGTCAATAGCCTCTATAGAAAACTGCCCAACGACATGGACAACCTGCGAGCACGAGCCGATGGATACATACAAATGGAAGAGCACGCTGAATTCCGAGAGAAGATGCATGCAAAGCACACCAATGGCAATAGCATAGGCCACAAAGAGAAGATGCCCGCGGTATGGTTTCTACACTCCGCTGAACACACCTCGCATCCACATCCTTGACGAGGTAGCCAATACCGACCTCATCTCCCTGCCACCCTCGAGGCACACCCCGACGAACATCGACAAGTCCATGTTCGGCCACACGATCGAAGAGTGTCGGACACTCCAGGACAAGATCGAGGAGCTGATACAGGCAAGCCACCTCAGACAATATGTCTAGAGGTCCCAAGCCCAGAGAGGAGGACACTCCAGGCGAAGATGTAGAAGAGGACAAGGATATCACTCCTGCAATGACCAAGCCTCCAGGTCTAGACCTAACACCGAGCATGCCGATCAACCAGAGGCTAACTCAGAGCCCAACCAGGCGCCCCTCCATGGAGTAATCAACACCATCGCCGACAGATTCGTGGAGGGTGGTGCTAGTGATGGAACTACTTGGAGAAGATTGATGTTTCTTCAAATTAAACCATGCTAAGTCCCTTCTTCTCTTTAGGTTCTTCATGCCAATGAAAGATTTGGATTAGTTCAAGCTTCAAAAGCTTGAAGATGCTTCCCAAGGTGGTTACAATGAGTTACATACAAGAAGAACAATAGATGAAACAGACATAATTGGGGAAAACCCCTCATATATGAGCATACAACAAACACAGGATTGGGAGCCAATCCCACTACCCAACATACATTCCCACACCCAGAGCGACGTTTCTCGCTCGCCCTTACCTTGTTGAGCAGAAAAGATGAATGGTTAAGTCTGGGGTGATTTCCTCCTCTTTCCGGTTCTCTGAGCTCTGAAGTGTAAATGCGTACGTGAGAAAATGTAAAATGTAACCCCTCATATATGAGCATACAACAAACACAGGATTGGGAGCCAATCCCACTACCCAACATACATTCCCACACCCAGAGCGACGTTTCTCGCTCGCCCTTACCTTGTTGAGCAGAAAAGATGAATGGTTAAGTCTGGGGTGATTTCCTCCTCTTTCCGGTTCTCTGAGCTCTGAAGTGTAAATGCGTACGTGAGAAAATGTAAAATGTAAAACTGATCCGCTTTCGCTTTTTTGTTTTTTCATTTTAAAACCTAACCTCCCTTTAACCTTTTAGTAAAAATGTGAACCATGGTTATCAAAAATAATTTCCCTTCCCTTATTATAAATAATTGAAATAAAATATATAAATAATTACAATAAAACATATAATTTTCTTCAAATACTTATTATAACAAAATATCATAAGAATACATAGTTCTCTAATAAGTATTACACAAAATAATTTTTCATAAATATTTATTATTTAATTAAAATACTCATAATTATTAAAAAACTCTAAAATATTCTACAGAGCGACGTTTCTCGCTCGCCCTTACCTTGTTGAGCAGAAAAGATGAATGGTTAAGTCTGGGGTGATTTCCTCCTCTTTCCGGTTCTCTGAGCTCTGAAGTGTAAATGCGTACGTGAGAAAATGTAAAATGTAAAACTGATCCGCTTTCGCTTTTTTGTTTTTTCATTTTAAAACCTAACCTCCCTTTAACCTTTTAGTAAAAATGTGAACCATGGTTATCAAAAATAATTTCCCTTCCCTTATTATAAATAATTGAAATAAAATATATAAATAATTACAATAAAACATATAATTTTCTTCAAATACTTATTATAACAAAATATCATAAGAATACATAGTTCTCTAATAAGTATTACACAAAATAATTTTTCATAAATATTTATTATTTAATTAAAATACTCATAATTATTAAAAAACTCTAAAATATTCTATAAGACCCATTTAATTAATTAAAACAATTATAAGAAAATAATCCCAATAAATATAAAAATAAATAATAATTAAACTATTATATTAGTAGAAAATTCGGGATGTTACAATTCTCCTCCCCCCCCTTTTAACAAATTTTGTCCTCGAAATTTATCGAAAACAAAAACGGATAAATTTCATGCATCTTGCTCTTTACTCCCAAATAACACTTTCCTAAATATTTCCTATCACTAAATATACTAGTAGAAAATTTCATGTAACCTCACTACCTTATTTATGTACAACTCTATCAATATTGCCAATGAACATCTAATATTAGTAAGAGTAAGGTGGGAAAAATTGGTGAGTCTATCCGCTATAAACCAAAAAGAATCAAATTTCTTAAGCGTCTTAGGCAAACCTACAACCAAGTTCATCTAATATTCGGGTCTTCTTTTTGCCTCTTTTTGTTGGTGTTCTACCTTAGACTTTTGGCATACTAAACATGAGTACACAAATTTCTCTACTTCTCTCTTCATCTTAGGTCACCAGAACATCTTCCTAGTGTCCTAATACATCTTAGTAGCTCTCGAGTGAATACTAAGAGTACTTGTATGTACTAAGTGTACAGTTTGTCACCCTTGTTACCCAATAGAGCATGCAACCCAACACTCAGCTCCTCTAAAGGGCAAGGATACAAGAAAATTCACCTATTCAAGGGAAGCAACGTAGAAGCACCAACAAAAAAAGGCAAAAAGAAGACCCGAATAAAATGTCTACGTCTTTACTTGTCTTTGGAAAAGCAACACATAGCTATCCCAAAGGACAAGTAAAGAGGGGCAGTTGTAGACATCTAATTTCGTCCAGACTTATAAACTGAGAGATAGTGATGGCAAATACTAGGAGAAGTGGTAGGTGTTCTTCTCCTCGGATTCACCAAAGCTTGGACCTCTTCAATGGAGCTTGAAATCCGAATGTAAGACACTTGAAGGAGTGAAGATTTTCGGACTTACGGATCCTAGACTATGGATGGAAGCATCCAAGCTTAAGGAACAAAGGAAAGCTCACTTCAAAAGGAAGGAAACCTAGCTAGGGTTCCTAAAAAGTGATGGCTCTCTCTTGGTGACTTTTGGAAGAAACATGGCAGAATATTTGCTCTCAAATTTCATATATCAAAAGTGATTACAATGTGTGAAGGAGGTAGCTTAAATGGATCTGGAATTAGGGACACTTGGCGCCAATGTGGAGGCTTCACATGTGGCGCCAAGTTTTGAATTCAAATTTTGAATTTTGAATTCAAAACTTAACTCACATGTACAAGTCCGGTTCACATTGATGCTAGGTGTATTTAGGTTTGATTTAGTGTGCATTTAGGGTTGAATTTGAGTCACACATGTTCAGCCAAGGTGGCACCATCCATGTGACTCAAAATGCAACTTAAATGCATGCTAAATTAAACCTAGTTAACTTTATCATAGGGTACCGATTTAGGGCGTTGTAAGGGTGCTTAATACCTTCCTTACGCGTAACCGACCCCCGAACCCAATTCTGTTTATCAAGGCCATTATTGGATCTTTAAAAACCTTTTCTTTTTCCAATATTTTGAGTAAAATATTGGTGGCGACTCCGTGAACCTATTTTCAAAACCATTAATTAAGGATTAGTCTGGTGTCCGGGCATTCCTTAATTAATGAGACTTTTAAAAGGATGTCTAAACCATAGGTCGCAAGATCGGAAATTTTCGGGTTGCGACA